CTTTCCCACAGTTAACCTTCTCCTGCTTCTCATCCTTCTTAGCCTGTTTTTTTCCCCCTCTCAGGAGCCTCCTGAACCCTGAAACCATACAGCTGACATCCTCACACCAATTGCTTCTCCTGGGTTCTGCCTCTGACCGCGTTCGCGTTATCTGTGTGCATGTGCACTTCTCCACCCTGTATATAAAATACCTTGATTAGAATTGTGTTGCCAATTAATGTTATCCTCCGGCAGTCAAACAAACAATTGCAGGTTTGGAATGAGGGGGGAAATAATGATATTTTAGTTCTGTGACCTCACAAAGGACGTTCTGCTACACTGAGTCAACTTTGCTTTGTCCTTTTGGTCTTTTTGTAGGTGGGCAAAATAATAGTAAAATGCTTCTGGATCTAATGGCATGTTGTTGGTGTGTGGCATAAATGACATCAGTATACATAGAATCATAGAATCACAGAATGGTTTGGGTTGGAAGGGACCTTAAAGATCATCTAGTTCCAACCCCCCTGCCACGGGCAGGGACACCCTCCACTACACCAGGTTGCCCAAAGCCTCGTCCAACCTGGCCTTGAACACTACAACGTCTCTGGGCAATTCTCTTCTTCTTCTAATCTCTACATGGCAGTAGAGATTAGACTTCATATATTAGAAATTAGAAATTAATTTTTCTCGATTCACAAGGTAAATCGAACCAACTTACCTTCAAAAAAATACCTTTTTGTTGTTGTTGTTGGTTTAAACCCCCTCCTCTCTTTTTGGAATATTTTTAGCATTTGCCAATTCGTGGTCCACACTTTACCAAGTTGAGAGAACTTTTGTGGGCAAGCAAAATTTTTTAATAAGTCATGCTATTTCTTGCAAAATAAAATTCATGTTACAGTGAGGAAGTGCCAGACGAATGATATGCTGAGACAGTAGAATGTTAGTGCTACTCAAGACTACCGGAAAATAAGTCAGTTGGAATGGCTTCATTTGAAATAGTTGATCCAGTTTATACTTTACTAAGAAAAAAAACCCTCTTGTGTATCTCGCAGTACTTAGTTACTGCAGACAGTAAGATCTAATTTACTTAGTTTGTGCTGTTTCTATGATTATAGATGCAATGAGTACAATGTTGTACCTGCAAGAAACTAATGAAATGGCAGTAGCCAGACTGACCTTCATTAATCACCTAAGCAATCTTCATGATAAACTGGCCCACAAATGTACTGTTGTAACATTAGTGTAGGTCGCAGAATTCAGTGTATAGTGGTCAATAATGACTCGTTTTCTCACGTCTGTACTCGTTGGTTGGAACTAGGCAAACATTCCTGACCAGTAATGACTTCCTACCGTGTGAGTGTATACTTCACTCTGCATCATGTCATTCAGCATGTACTTGAAGGTGTCTGACCTGTGTTGTACATCTGTGACTTATATATACTATAGCTTATTCCTGTGTGTGGGTTTTTTTTGCTGCACCGTTCTGGTTAGTAGGAGCACTTGCATACTTATTTTTAATTTGATAAGAAAACTATTTATTGATATTTACCGTTTTCTGTTATAACTTTTTCCTCTTCAGCTTTGTATAATCTGATTTGTAATATCTAGAGTAAAACATGTCGAAGCAGAGAGACACAAGAAGCTGCTAACAATGTGTCTGTTTAGTTATGATTCCCCCAAGGTTTTTCTCCTACTGACAAATCATAGAATCATGGAATCTTCTGGTTGGAAGAGACCTTCAAGATCACTGAGTCCAACCATTCACCCTGCACTATCAGGGTGCCTAAACCGTGTTCCTCAACACCAAATCCACATGGTTTTTAAACACCTCCAGGGATGGGGACTCCACCACCTCCCTGGGCAGCCTGTTCCAATACTTCAGGCTGGTTGTTTCTACCTTCCAGTGCCTTTTCATGATGTGTCACAGATCTGGTGTATGATCTGCTGCATAACTACAACCTCGTCTCGCTGGTGCTTAGTCAATTTGCCTGTTCGTGCTCACCATCATGACAAAGTAGATCTGAGACTTTTTTCAAATTCTGCCTGCTCGTCTTCCTTATTGCTTACAGTCTGTGACAGCGTTGTCCTCTTGTCACTGTACTCATGGCGTTTTGGCCTGCCTGGGCCTGAAGATTTAGGTACTGTCCAGATCCTTAAGCTTTCTCTGAGCTTCTCTAAAGGCTTCTGAACTGGATCAGAAGGTGTGGCTGCAGCTCAAGCACACGTTCTTTGAGACCACCAAGTACTTGTGACTATATTAATAGTAATGTAGCTGTGACAGGCTCACTCCACAAAAGCTGCCCAGCTGGCTGGGTTCTAGGGCAGCCCCATCCTGACCAAAATCTGCGCTGTGCTGCTG